CATAAAATGAACAAAGAAAATTATGATATATAACAATAATGAAAGAAAATTATGATAAAATATGACTTAAAGATTTTTATAATATCATTTCACAGTACTGTACATATAGCCTACTCAACTTATAACCAAATCGTGTTACGACTGGTCTGTCGGAACCAATCGTGGCCGTAAGTTGAGCACTAGCTGTAGTGAGCAATCTCCTTCTTGCAGCTTATATTCTTGTGGTGGATGTAAATGAAAACATAAGTAGATGAACAAATAAAATATTAGCTGCTGTGAAAGAAATGAGAGTATTAAATTAGAATGACCTGTATTGAGGGGGAGGACCTAGGAAGCTTCTCCTAGAAGGTGACATTTAAGCTGAAACCTAAAGAAAAAGATCTAGTTACATAGAGAGTAGGGGAGAAAAGTATTTCAAACAGAGGGAGCCTGCAGTGCTGTTCATGCAAAATACGTTGTGCATGCAGCAACAAAGAGTAAGAAAAGTACTTGGCCTTTTTAAGAAATCAAAGATGACCGCCATGGCTGGCTAGAATGCAGTGAGATGAGATGCAGGTGGAACAAAGTGAAGTCGGAGATCTATGTTTTGGCCAAGCATGCAAAGCAGCAGAGCCCAGTCTTCCATGAAACAGTGTGATAGATATTGCTGCATTCAAAATCAGATCACAACATGGCCCTTCTTAGGTTTCTTGTCCCCACCCACTACTGATGCAATAATGTAAACATTTCTTGTTATCCTATTCAGGGATCTTCCTGGTCTGGATGATGCTTGTGTTTCTAGCCTTCTATCCTAAAACAACCCACAATCATAAATACAATCTATGGACACCAGCGCTCGCTCGCTCTCTCTCTCTCTCTCTCTCTCTCTCTGAGATGGAGTTCTGTTCTGTCACTCAGGCTGGAGTGCGGTAGCATGATCTTGGCAACTTCTACCTTCCAGGCTCAAGCAATTCTCCCACCTTAGCCTCCCAAGTAGCTGGGATTACAGGCTCGTGCCACTATGCTCAGCTAATTTTTATATTTTTTGTAAAGATGGGGTTTGGCCATTTTAGCCAGGCTGGTCTCGAACTCCTGGGCTCAAGCCATTCACCTGCTTCAGCCTTCCAAAGTCAGGGATTACATGTGTCTCTTTTTCACATTTTGTTTCATGCTCTTTCCTGAATTGGAAAAGCTCCATCTCCATGTGATGACCACTATTCCATCCTCTCAGACTTAACATTAATTTCTACAGGAAGAGTCAAGCTATTGCTCTGTTATTTCAGAGCCAATTCTACTGTAATGTTGGGCTGCTTTACATCGCTCCCACCATTTTGGGCATGCGTGAGGATGTTAGAGTCTGAACTTACGTGATGTTGTAGTCATGACACCTGATGCGGAGCTCACACTCAATACAGGTTTATGGAAGAAAAGAAGGCAGGCAAGCAGGCAGTTTTGTCCAAATGCACTGGAATGGAATACATGGCATTTGGATCCTATCTAGTTTAAGTCTGTATTTTTTTTTAAAAAAAATTTAATTTAACAAACACTTGAAGATATGACTTTTATGTGTCACACATTAGCCCAGTTAGTTGCAAACAATGTCTAATCATCTCAGACATTCTTGGCAAAGAAATGCATAAAGGAATGAACACTGGCTCTGCTCCTTGTTACCTGTCAGACATTAAGGTATAGAGCACCCAAACTCCACTTCCTGAATGGAGAGTATAGGCTGTGCTAGGAAGACCACAGATAAGCGTTCATCTTAAAAAAGAAGACAAGCAGATTGCTCTTAAAGAACGGAACCAGTAAAAGCCAGATTATCTATTTGTGGGAGATAACTGCAGACTGAAATACACAAAACTGTTATGAAGGTGACAAAGTTGTAATCTCAGAAAGACTGAAATGTCATTGTCCTTTAGAAAACTGGGATGCTCGAAGTGCTCCAGAGTGTCTGTATTTCTATTTCTATGAACTGAATAGTACAGTCTTCCAAGAATCACATACTGTATTTTGTCCCTAAATCTGTTTATGCCTGTTTCTTTGCATTCATAGCTTCATCTATCTCTTTGCTCACCCATTCAAAAAATATTTACTGTGTGCCTGCTATGCATATGCTGAAACAGAGTGATGGAAATGACATTTTAAGGGGAAAATGACAGGTAGAGAGAAATGATGTGGAGAAAACCATCAACAAATGTGATAATTTTTTTTTGTCATAAGAAAGGAATACTCTTCTCTAAGTAAATATGCTGGCTTTCTGGTTTATACATCTGCTTCTTGTGAGTTTGGAAAGTATGAGTTAATGCCTCTGATCTTTGTACATAGCTAAAGATGAATATACAATGATAGGGCTGGAGAACAGTCTCTGAATTGTGGTCATTCCACCAGGGCTGATCTGCTGTGAGACCTTGCCTGGCTGCCAGCTGGCCTCCCCCAATCACATCTAACCATAGCCCCTCTTAAGGGGCTTTTAGGCCAACATCAGCACAGGAAGTCCTTTCACCCGGGTGACAACACAAGGCCAAGTACATTCCACACACGAATTCAGAATGAAATATAACTGATACAGCCTGGGCTCCTAATGACCTTCAGATGCCAGTGTCAGTCAATGACTCCAAAGGAAAACTAACCTCCGGTTATGGTGCCATATTCATCTGGAATGCATTACTAAACCAAGAAATGGAGTGGAGATAATTTTTTAGAACTTAGAAGCTAACTTTGTGGTGGATCACAGAGGTGCTTGAGGAAAGAAAAAGAACAATAAAGTTCCCACAAGGCCTAGAAGTCTGTGATGCTACAATGAACATTTCTGATGCTGAAATGAAAGTCCATTTATGCTTCATGCAAGCATGTTCTTGTCTAGAGTTTAACATTGGGAAAGGTCTGGATCTATGAATATCTTACTGAACTCACAATAAACATTCAATCTAATCAGGCTAGAATGTCATGGGAAAGTTGACAGTCCTGAGCTGGTAACTGGACTATCACTTGGTTGGAATGACTTCTATACATGTGGAAATCTGACACTGCAGCAGGACATGCTTAAAACAAACAGAATATAGTCCTATGTTATGTGGACATTGTGAAAACTCACATCCGTGGCATTACACATCATGGTGATGAAATCAAGCACACTCGAGCTTCACCAAGCTCATGGAGAACACTGTTAAGACAAGACCCTTTCATCATACCTGAAGAATCCCTAACTTCAGCGACTGCCTCTAAAAAGTCAGTCCTTTACCAAAAGACTATAAACTCTCCTGAAGAGATTGATTTTTGTTTTTCCTTCCTTTTCCTCTGCTCTAACATCGTATTTTCTGACGTAAATTTATCAGAAATTCAATTCTTCTGGAAGATCTAACTTTAGATTCTTCTAAAGTCCCTGAAAAATCCCATTCAAATCTCAATGACAGGTCTTTTTAGCCACCCTCTGCCAACATCGATTTATCTGAACTTTAATATTCACACTTAGGTATTCAGCTCTGTTACTCAGCTTAACTATTAAACAGCTTATTTGAATGCTCTGTGACTATCATTTAATTTGTTTCAGTTTTTGTGGAATTTTTAATTTTCACAATGTAGCAAAATTTTAAGTCTATAACAAAGCTTCCTTGAATGGAGGAGTAGCAGGTGATATGAAAGTAACTTAAGTGTCTTGTAGGTCAGGACCCACGGGTATTCTGTTGAGTAGCAAAGTCAAACAACTCAACAACATGAACTGGAACCTAAAAGGCAGTGTGGTTTCAAATGTTTCCACTGTGAAACCCCTAATAAACTCTGTTGAAACCAGCTAAGAGATTGTATTAGCACTCAGAAAATGTAAGTGAAATGTCAATATAAATATTTACATTTAATTAATTACTGAGGAAGGGCAATATTGTTGTCATGCAAGACACAGATTTCAAAAAGGTATGATGTCTTCTGGTCTACTTTTCTAGATACTAATAAAAATACATACACACAACATCTCTTCTCTTTTTATCTAAAATTGAGCCAAAGCTAACCAAATAGAAATAACATTTTGAAAACAAAAGGCTTAAGACACAATGACAAAACCAAATAAAGGAAAGTGTTTCTCCCTAGAAGTATTCCAGCTAATGAAGAAATGATGGAATTAGTACATCATTATTTTGAAAAGTTCTAATGAATAATGAATCTAGGCAAAGATCATCAGTGCTCACTAACATCACAGATAACAAAGTATTATCTACTTCTTGATAGAAAACATAATAGCATCTACGATTTATTCTTCCACTCAAGATAGTTTATAGAAAATAGGGAACAGGGGAACATGATAAAAACATGGCAACAGGATCAGCAAAATCTAAAATGTGGGAAAGTCTACAAGACAAGTAACCTGATTTCTTCAACAAATACATTATAAAAGAGGAAAAATGGAGAGTAGAATCTTCTAGATTAAAAGAAACTTGAGAGGCACATCAAAGGCAATGCATGGAATTTGTTTAGATCCTCATTTAAACTAACTGTAAATGAATGCATGAATTAATGAGTATACAAACAAAAGGGAAATTAGAATTACATTGTGATGATAATTGAGAAACTACAATTAATGTTTTTAAAGGAAAAATAATGTTACTGGAGTATTGTTTGAAAAAGTATCCTCGGGCTGGGCATGGTGGCTTATGCCTGTAATCTCAGCACTTTGGGAGGCTGAGGTGGGCACACTGCTTGAGTCCAGGAGTTCAAGACCAGCCTGGGCAACATGGCAAAACCCCATCTGTAAAATATAAATAAATAAATATAGTTTCCTTATTTTTTAGCAATAGTACTAACATTTTTAACAGATGACTTATAAAGCATCTGAAATTTGCTTCATAATAACCTATTTGGTGAGAGGAGGGTGTTTTCAGATGAAACAAGACTGAGTTGATGGTTCTGTAGCTGAGTATTGGGTATATGGGATTCATTATGGCGTTTTAATTTTGTATGTTTTTGACATTCTTCACAATGAAGTGTTTTTTTAAAAAATAGAAAACATAAACGTGATAGAAAAGACTTACCCTGCTGGATATCCTTCATTTCTAAATGTAAACTAGATATTAAGATTCCCACAGTTTGAGATCGTTTTCCATCCAATAGTTTGATGATCTAAAATTAGAAGAAAAAAAGAATACAAGCTCAAATGACCATGCAGTCTTTCAGAATGCACACCAAAAACATTAACATTTTTTAGATACACTGACTGATGAACTAAATTGATGCTGCATGCACTCTTCTTTAAATAATACTTAACTGGGAAGTAACTTATTCACAATTATAGACATCTTACACAGTGAAAGACAGTTTACAAAATAGACACATAAATTCCATCAGCCTAGTACAAACACTAAATCTTTATATGCTACTGTGATCGTTTTACTCAAGTACTAAGTTATACTGACATCAAGATGTATACAATGTTGTATTCATCTTTTTTATTTATCATTGGAATATTTTCTTGTTGTTACTGATGAAGTCACTTCATGGCTTCCAATCATTTTTAGTAATGTCATCTGCTGAGTGATTTAGGGGAAAAAGCATGACCATCTGAGACAGCCATGACCCGCGATATGGCCTTGGTAAAGTAACAATCTCTATGAATTGATTTCCTCATCATGAAGAGCTGACTGTATTTAGTCTATACTTTTATTTTGAGACAAGGTCTGGCTCTGTCACCTAGGCTGGGGTGCAGTGGTGTGATCAGAGTTCACCTTAGCCTTGACCTCCTGGATTTAAGTTATCTTCCTGCCTGAGCCTTCAGAGCAGCTAGGATCACAGGCATGCACCACCATACCCAGCTAATTTTTAAATGTTTTTATATAGACAGGGTCTTGCTAATCTGATCCCAAACTCCTAAAGTCAAGTGATTCTTCCATTTCAGCTTTCCAAAGTGCCAGGGTTACAGGCGTTAGTCATTGCACCCAGCCTATACATTTACTTTAGAAATTAAATAACTATATGCAAAGCACCTAATGTAGTTCTTGACATGTATTTATTTAAATAAAAGTTTGTCGGTTTCAGAGTGATTACTTGTGTTATTGTTAATATAAACAATACAATACCTTGCACACAAAGCTTTAATTATAAATTAATTAATGAATTAATTTTCGAGATAGTATCCAGCTCTGTCACACAGGCTGGAGTATAGTGGTGCAATCATAGCTCACTGTAATCTTGAACTCCTGGGTTCAGTGATCCTTGTGCCTGAGCCTCATGCATCTTAGCAAGGACAATAGATGCATGCCACTATGCCCAGTTAATTTTTATTTTTTTGATGTTTTGTAGAGACGGGGTCTCACTGTATTGCCAACGCTGCTCTCAAACTCCTGGGCCCAAGCCATCCTCCCACCTTGAAGTATTGGGATGACAGGTGTGAGCCACCACACTTGGTCTTAAAATTATTTTTTATAATAATATATATGTTTACAATCTTTGTAGAAGCTCCATATACCTCAATGCCAGTTATTTAAACCTTTATGAATATTCCATGGAGAAGTCTACATGGTTTTGTGCTTCTCTACAACTAGGAAACCAAATCAGCTCCCTAATAACACATCACACAGCTGCCACTAAGGGAAAAAACTATCTTTTCTCTCATGTGACAGGGCTACAAAAATCAAAGAGAAGCACCCATAAGACATCGCCAAATCTTAAAAATGTTTTTAATGTGCTTTGCTGGGTAAAATACAAACTAGACTGAACAGGTGTGTTCTCCTTCCCACCTAAGTACTTATAGACTTGCCAAACTACTGCGAAGACAAGACTAAACAGTAACAAATGTCTACATTTGTATTATTACTGTAACATCTGAATTGCTTGCTGGTTGAAAAATAAGGGATAACAATAGTTTGTTCCAAAAAAGATTACATAACTGCCTAATTGTCTAACTACCTACTGATCAATCAATCTTGAATCAATTATTGCCTGACATTTTCCCCCCTTCCCTGTACAGAATGGCTACTTTCATATAATGATTAGAACTGCAATACAGTAAATACTAAGCATTAATCAAGATGTAAGGGAAAAAAAAGTCTCATTTTTCAGTCAGTATGTTTAAGCCTTTCAACATCTACCTTAGAGAGAAACATTCTTGGGGCATACAGAATTTTAGGAATTTTAAAGAGAAATAGAAAAGGTACTCAGTATTTTTTTATATGAAAGCAAAAGCAAGAAAAGGCAATTAAGCATAATAAAATATCTTCCTTTAAAATGCGATTTCTGGCTTTTTCTTAGAAAACCCAAACTTAAATGATTTTTTTGTCCAGTAAAATAAAATTAAGAAAAGTCAATTTAGTTTTAAATAACTATTCAGCCCTGCACCCATTCAAAAAATATTTACTGTGCATGTTACATGCCTGGCATTGCTTTGTATTCTGGGGATGCAGAAGTGACTGAGACAGATCAAGTCCTAAGAAGTTTGCTGTAAAGAGTCAAAAAGGCAAATAAAAGCATCACCTAAACTAATGGAATATTACTTGACCACAGAAAAGAAGGAAATCTTGTCATTTGCTATAACATGAATTGGCCTTAGGACATTATGCTAAGTGAAAATAATCTAGTCACAAAAGAATAAATGCTGCGTGATTCCACTTATATAAGGTATCCATGGTGGTCAAACTCATAGGAACAGAAAGTAGAACGGTGGTTACCAGGGGCTGGAACAACAGTGAACTGGAAATTTGCTCTTTTGTGGGTATAAAATTTCAGTTATGCAAGGTAAAAAAGTTCTAGAAATCTGCTGTACAACATTGTGCTTATAGTTAACAATAATGTACTATACATTTAAAATTTTGTTAACAGGGTACCTTTCACGTTATGCATTTTTCACAAAAATAAAGAGAAATTAGTGTTAAGCCTTCAAATCCATGGGAGAAAAAAGAGGAAGAGACTAAGAGGATTTAGGACATACCATTCTGTGTCCATTGCATTCCTACCATTTTAGCTGGTTTTGAGAAACCTGGTGGTATTACACAACAGTAGCTATATGGAAACATAGAAGGATATTTTTGAAAATCTAGTCAAAAGTAGACAGAGAATTTTGTACAGATAGGGAAGAGAATACAAAGGCTCCAACTTCACCACTGCCTAAATTTCCAAACAAACAAACAAAACCCTCTTAAGGCATTAGTTCCACTAAAGGCAACACTCACCAAATACCCAGTTGCAGCTTTTTTTTGCCTTTTTCTATATTGATAACTTCTTTTGTGTTTTGTTTCTTACAGTGAGATACTTCAATTCTTTTCCCTTTTTTGTTGTTATATCCTCTTTAGGCATTTTCTTTGTTACTATGAGACTTATATAAAACATTTTATATTTATAATCTATGTTAATTTCAATCACATATACAAACTCTACTCTACTTCTCCACTCCCAAATTTTATGTAATTGATAGAACAAATTACACTTTTTATGTTATGTATCCATTACCATATTTTTATAATTATATTTGTTTTTAATACCTGCAGGTATAAATTCTATACCAGAGTTAAAAGTGATTTATGCACATCATTAGAGTACACTGTATTTGTCTGTACATTTACCTTTATCTGCGAGCTTTGTGCTTTCATATCCTTTTGTGTCTGCTATGTCATGCCCTTTCATTTCAACTTTAAAGGCCTCCCTTTATCAATTCTTATAAGCAAGTTTAGTGGTTGTGAACACCCTACACTTTATCTAGGAAAGTCTATTTCTCTTTTGTTTTTGAAAGACAGGTTTTCTTTTTGTCTTTTTTTGTTTTCGAGACAGAGTTTCACTCTGTCACCCAGGCTGGAGTGCAATGGCATGATCACCACTCTGTAACCTCTGCTTCCCAGGTTCAAGTGATTCTCCTGCCTCAGCCTTCTGAGTAGCTGGGATTATAGGCATGTGCCACCATGTCTGGCTAATATTTTGTATTTTTAGTAGAGGTGGGGTTTTGTCATGCTGGCCAGGCTGGTCTTGAACTCCTGACCTTGTGATCTGCCTATCTTGGCCTCCAAAAGTGCTGGGATTACAGGAATGAGCCACTGTGCCTAGCCAAAAGACGATTTTTGTAGATATAATATTTTTACTTGGTAATTTCCTTTCAGCGCTTTAAATATATTACCCTAGATCCTTCTGGCCTGAAAGTTCATGCTGAGAAATCTTCTGATAGTCTTGTTGGAGTGCCCTTGTATGAGTTGCTTTTCTCCTGCTGATTTCAAAATTCTCTTTTTGTCTTTAACTTTTGACGATTTGATTACAATGTGCTCACTGTGGTCTTTTGAGTTCTCCTAATTTGGATCCACTGGGCTTCTTGAATCTGAATGTTTATTTCTTTCCCCAGAATCTTGACCATTATTTCTTCCAATAAACTTTCCTTCCTTTCTACTTCCTCCTTCTGTGATTCTCATAACGCATCTATTGATCTGCTTGATGGTGTTCCAAAAACCTTTAGACTTTCTTATCTTTTTTTTTTTTTTTGAGATGGAATCTTACTCTGTCACCCAGGCTGGAGTGCAGTGGCACGATCTCAGCTCACTGCAACCTCTGCCTCCCGGATTCAAGCGATTTGCCTGCCTTAGGCTCCTGAGTAGCTAGGATTACAGGCACATGCCACCATGCCCAGCTAATTTTGGTTTCACCATGTTGGCCAGGTTGGTCTTGAACTCCCGAACTCGTGATCCCCCTGCCTCAGCCTCCGAAAGTGCTGGGATTACAGGCATGAGCCACTGCTCCTGGCCTCCTCTTCATTTTTGTCCTTTTGCTCCTCTAAATGGATCATTTCAAATGACCTCCGATTTTTCTCATTCCTCCTTCTGCTTCCTCAAGTGTGCTATTGAACGTCACTAGGTGAGCTTTTAAATTCAGTTATTGTATTCATTAGGCTCCAACATTAGTTTGATTCTTTATAGTATTTTCTGTCCCTTTGTTGATACTTATTTTGTTCATGTATCTTTTGTCTGAGCTCATTGAGCATCTTTATGACATTTATTTTGAATTATTTCTCAAGTAATTAATATACATCTGTGTCTTCAGAATTGGTTTGGTTTCTTTTGTTCCATTCGTTGGTCCATACTCCCCTGTTTCTTTTGTGTGTTTTGTTACTTTGTGTTGGGATTTGAAAAAACAGTCACCATTCCAAGTCTGTA